GAGAACGTTAGGCGTGATGTTGAGATCGCTGAGATTAAGGCTGAAATAGTGAAACTAGCTGAAGGCGCTCAGGCAAAAGACAATAACGAAGAGAACAAAGAGCTACCTCAAATTATTTCTCTCAAGGAAGTTGTTGATATATCTAGTTCTGTTATAGATCATTCCATTAATGTCAACCCTCTTAACACATATTCAAAGGAAGATAGAAAGACCGATGAATTCTTAGATTCAGCGCATAAGAAGAGGATTGGAGATGAGATCAGGTAACGCAATAAGGAGAAGAAACTCCAGCGTGAATCAGCTAACCAGGATATTACCTTTGGTAATGCTTATGTACCGGAAACAGTTAACAATATTGAGAAGTCGAATGTGCCTAAAATTACTAACTGTACTTCCTCAGAATTACCTCATGAAACAGAGGTCATTGAAGATAACTTACAGCTTCAAGTCTAGGAATGTATTACCAAATTCATTGTAGATTCGAAAACACCATGTGATATAAAAACCCTTAACAATGTTAAGAGATTTTCCAAAAATTCGAAATTATCACATGAGAAACTGGAGGAAGAAATCAGTGACTCCGTTAACAATGTTAACAATCGGAATGCCATAGCAGAAAGAAAGTATTGTCCCTTGACACCACACCATCCCGATCACGCCCCTTCAGAAAAGAACCATATGACGCAACCAAACCCAAGACCAGCAACTGAGCACCCTAGCAGTAGAGGCATTCAACAGGGCAAGAAGCGTATCGCGTCCCTTCAGAAAAAACCGCATAGCAAGAACAACTTCTATCGCCAAATCATACCCCTAAGCACTAAATAAGTAACTAACATTAGCCACGTGAAATAAAGGCCAAGTATAATATCGAAAACCACACATACCAGGAATAAAGTAAAACGCAATCTTAAACCCAAAACAAGAACCACGCAGGAATTAACTAAAAGCAAAAAAGGAGAGTAAAGAAGAATAGCGAAAAACTAATATAGCAATGCATAAAGCAAAAAGAAAAGGAAGCTCATAAAAAACAGCAACCAAACAAAGGTGAAAATAAGAAAGAAAGGGAATAAGAATAGCGTAAAAATAAGGAGAAACAATAATACTGAAATAGGCCACCAAATAACCGTAGACCATCAAAACCAGCCTATCAATAAGTAGGTAACACTACCGGTAAGTAGATAACATTCTAACATAAGTAGATTCACAGTCTAATATAAGTAGGGAATAGTCTTATAAGACTGTTCCCTACTTATTTAATAATTTAAACTTTATTTTTAAAAAAAAAGAAATCTTATAATAATATTTAAAAATTCTATTTTTAAAAAATTAATAACAAAAATTTATAATAAAGAGTAAATTTATTCATTGTAAACGTAATATCATCACTTCTTTTTTGTCACTTGTATCACACCTCCACTCCTTTTCATTTTTCATATATATTTTAGGAACTTAGAAATTTTTTCATGTGTAAAATCCTATTTGTCAAATATATTAGTATCATATAGTTTAGAATTAGATTAGAGTTAGGCTTAGGGTTAAGGTAAGGTATATATATAAAGATAATGTATAAGGAGTATCGCCTCTTTGTGATGAATAAATTTACTCCATTATAAATATAAAATATCAAATTTTTACAATTTTAGTATATTGTTGTATTCAGTTTTTTTATTTATATATTTATAAACAATTTATGATATAAGCAAAAGATAATAATTAAATAAAAATGAAGTAATATTAACAAAGAATTTATTTAATATGATCAAATTAATCAGTGTTGCCTCAACATTAACAATTTACATTTTCATTTTTTCAATATATTAAACTAAGTAAATGCTAACTAATTAATTAAAACTATGCAATTACAAAACTATTATATAAAAATTGTATAATAAATTACTAATAAAATCAGAAATTAAAAAATAAAATAATAAATTGTATTACAAAATGCGAAATTATAATTTTAAAGGGTGAAAATTAAAATTATTATAAAGGTGTAAAGGAAAGATAGCGAAGGGAGTGATTTTCAAAGAAATATGCTAAAAGTAAACATGGAATATTAAGCTATTTTAGGATTACTAATTTGTATTTATAAAATATCTTTAATTAGACCAACCTAGCATTTTAACTATTTGTCATACTGACATCTTGACAAACTGGAATCTTGATAAATTTGTATTGTGATAAACTAGCAAATGATTATTAAAGTGACTAACTGCAATTATCAAAAGTGATCTTTAAGTGAAATTATGAAGATTTTAGTCAGATTTTACATTTAATCGTAACAATATATTGTATAAATTTACTAATATAAATTTATATTTAAATAATATTTTTGTTTATAACTAATTTTAACTTAAGATGCTATAATTTAAGTAATATCATCTAATTAATTTTATTAATAATAATTTTTAATATAGATGACTTAACTCATGTAATATTACTTGATTAACAAATTGAATAAAATTTTAAATTTTTTACAAATAATATATTATTTATAATGTAATCTAAGCTATTAATTTCTTCTCTCTTTCATATAGTTTTTATTCTAAAAAATATTGTATTTTTTATCTTTTGTAATACTTTTTATTATAAAATTTACATTTTATCTTTTTTTTTAAAGAAATTAAAATTACATCATGTATTATTTTTAATTATATATATTAACTAAATCTTGAATACTTATATATTACTTACAATAGAAAATATTGTTTTAAAAACTAATAATTTATTGAATAATAGTTCTAACATGTTTAATTCTTACTATGATTTTTTATATGATGATTCTAATTTATTATTTAATGCTTATCATAATTATTTAACATTAAAGTTAAATGGCTTTTTACATAATTTTCTGATCTGATATTTAAATTTTATAATTCTTTATACAGTTTTTCTAATCTATACTTTAATATATATAATAAAATTAAAGTGAAAAATGAACTGATATATGAAAAATTCATCTAGATAATAAAATCATATTTAAGTATAATAGAAATAAATATGAATCATCATAAAAAATTAGTAAATAATGATAGTGAGTATAAAAAAGAAGAAGGGATTAAAATAAAATTATATATAAAAATAGAATTTGAAATATGAGAATTTGTTGAATCATACTTTGATAAGTATACAAAGTTACAAGAATTTTATTTTTATAAAAAAAGATATATACTAAATCTAATAGATAATATATTTATAAAATGCAAAAAATATGAATACTTATATGCATAAACTATAAAATTCAAAAGGTAATTTTAATAGAAAATCAAAGAAATAAAAATTAGAAATGATTGGATGCTTTTGGTATATTAATATTACTTTTCTAAATCTATAAGTGATATTTATATTAATAGTATAATTAGGAAATATAACTATAAAATGAACTTTTTCATAATTAAAATAGCATCAAAATTTTGAAAATTAACTAATAAGATGCTTAAAAAAGTAAAGTTTTAGATGATTCATAAAAAAAAATATGTATATAAATTTAATGCAACTTATTAATAACTTAACAATAAAGATTTAAGTAATGCTATTCAATAATTAAAAATAGTAAAATCTAGTAAAAATGATGCATATCAAATACTTACTAAATTATATTTAAAAAAAGATGATGATTTAAAATGGATTATTAAACCATATTTTGATTCTAAAAAAAAGATGATTAAATTTATTATTTTAAATATTTTTTTATTAAATTGATATTTATAAAAAATACCATGATATTATAATTATTGATATGACATATAAAACTAATCAATTTAATATGATATTGATTTTAGTTGTAATAGTTAATAATAAGTTTAAATATTAATAGTAATAATAGTAATTTTAAAAGATAAAATAAAAGTAACTTTTATATAATCTTATAAGAATTGAAAAATTCTAGTGATATTATGCTAATAGTTTTATATTTCTGATGCTGATTCAGCTTTAATATCAGCTATAAAACAAATTATCTAGAAATGAAATATTTTTATTGTATTTTTTATATAGATTTAAATCTAAAAAAGAAACTCAAAGAAAAACTACATGACTAATTTGAATTATTTCATATTAAATTCTTAGCAATATGTAATTCTTTGTATCACAAAAAGTTTAAAATAAAATAAAAAAAATTATTAATAAATTTTCAGCCTGTGAATGATATTTTAAAGTAATTAGATAAGAGTTTAGTTTTATTACTAATAGTTAATAAGAAATGATAAGTTAATATTATTAACAATTAATATGATAATCAAAAAATATTTGTTTTCAGATAATAAATAATATTTATTAATAAGAAATATCTAAAGAAGATGATTATGATCAACCTAAATTTTTATTTTTTTTATTGATCAAAAATATATTTTACTATAATATTTAATAAGTAATTAATTACTAGAGGCAAAAATCATAATTATAATATGTTATTTTTCTTGATAATAGTTTATATTTATATATATATTTTTGGCTTATTAATAATAAAATCATGTATAAATACTTTTTTAAATTATATTTTATTCAGTTAATCTATAGTTCTATATATTACTTATTTTTAAATGATAAGAACAAATATATATTAAATAATATAAAGAAATATGATACTAATATATCATATTTTAAAAAGTAAACTAAATAAGTTATAATAACCTTTATCTTAATTATTATTTTAAAATTTCATAAATTTTAAGTAAATACCTAATATTATATAAATGTAGAGTCCTAAATAAAAATATAGATTTATTATGAGATATATTAAAAAAACTTTTAATTTGTCTATTTAAACTAATAAAATTATTAAATTTGTTAATCAAATAAAATGTTTTATTAAAGATATAAAAGCAAAATTATTAGAGCAGAAAGAACATACAATTTTAATGCATATTAGTGATTTATTATAAGTATTATATAAAAATAAATAATTAATAGATATAAATCATTTGACGAACTTCAAAAAGTAAAATATATTTAAAATATAACTAATTTTATTAATAAAGAAGAAAGTTAAACTAGTAAAAAAAATGAAAACATTATAAAAAATACAATTAAGTTAATCATTATGCTTTATGATATTCAAATATCTAAAAATATTATAATGTATATTATATAATAAAATGTATATATATATATGTTTAATAAAATTACAGTCAATTCTTGATATAGCGAACTCTTGATATAACGAATTTTTGAACAAATATAATAAAAATACTCTTGTTATAGCGAATTGGC